GATGATGAACAACCTTGCTTCGCGGTGGCGATGAGCAGCGAACCTGCAGAGATGGCAACGAGATGCTCCTGAAGAGAGTTGAAAATGATGAGCGAAGGAAGGAGAAAACGAGATGATGAGAGAAAGATAAGGGAGGAGAAAACGAGATTGAGAGGGAAGAGGAGAGGAGGCGTGAGATTTGAGTGTTTGAAAAGACGGTGAAAAGATAACTAAAATGAAAGGATTGTTAAGGATCCCACATTGATAAAAGAAGGAACCTAACAATGGTTTATAATAGACATGAGCTACTCCTCTCATTGTCAATTGGTTTCTTGATTTTTTTTAACAGTGAATCCGTAGCTCTACCAGAACTGCTTGGTTTGGAAAAATGTCAACCCAACCCGAACGGAAACTTTATCTAACCCAACTCAACCCAACCCTTACGGTTTGGATTGGGTTCATCGGGTTTTTTGAACACGCCTAACAGTGCTACTTGTTAGATATATCCATAAATGAATTAAATTTAACCAACCCATCCACTTAAGCTTTTGGGTTGTGTGGTGATTTCTTCATCCTTAATATGATATTAGAGTGAGAGGTCCTACGTTCAAATTCCAGCATTCACATGGTATCAGAACCCTAGGTTTTCTACCACTAACCATGTAACTTCCAACCTTGAACAAATTGCCCATTACTAATATTGGGTATGTTTTGTCTGGTCAAGGAGAAGAAGTCCAAGGCAGTAGCTCTTCAAGGGAAACTTGAACAAGGCCTCTACAAATTACTTTGGAAATGTCACTTTGTATACTGCAAATAAAGCAGCCAACTGCGCCAGTAAAAACAGCAATTTGGCTCAGCATTTCAAAATTAATAATTATTCTGATTTCTTCTACAACTTAACCTTCCTAACCCCAAATACTAAATTGTTGTGATTTAGCTATAATGATTAAGCATACATACTATTTCAATTAGTTTTATAAGTGAGAGCAGGGGCTTCAGACTCACCACCCTCTTGATCGGAATAATATATAAAATGTAAAGATAAAATGTACCTTGGACAATTAAAATTGATAATTTTTTTATATTATGCAAAATTAAAATTAAAACTTATATAAAATAAGAAGAGTTGAATATAAAAAATGATGATTTAAAGAGGGAAAAAATATATCAGTAGAAGAATTTATAAAAAAATTATTACCCATCTAACAACTGACAATGTATAAATGAAAAAAAAAATAAGCATTTGAATTGTCAGCAGCAATTAAATCATAAAGGTCCCACCAACTTATATATATATATATCTGACATATTTGATTTAAAAAAAATTTTACATAGGAAATTTACAATTTCTCTTAATTTTTCACTTTTTTTTTTAAATTGACCTAATCTATGATTTCTTTTTCTTCTTCAAAAATAAAATTGATGATTTTATTTTCTTTTATAAAACTCACGAAAAAAAACTATATAGGAAAAATGATGGGAAATCATGAATTAAGATTGAACACGGACACTAAAAGAATACTAATTAAAAAAAATAGAAAAAATATGAATTGCGAAAAAATACTAATTAAAAGATATGGGTTCGAATCCCCGTAACATATATCAATGTAATGAAAAAGAAATACTTTTAATCCCGTAAAAACAATTCAAATGGGTCCTAAAGTCAAAATCTATAATCCTTAAATTTTTTATTATTGATTTGCTGTATAAATTTTAAAATCGAGTGGTGTGAAGTGTTTAAATTTTGTTCAAATTATTATAAAACAGATTGGGTTATCCAAAATTTTTAATTATGAGGCTAATATTTATGAATAGTGATATTTGATGGATAAATATGTAAAATACATCATAATAAAATCTAAGTTTAAATAATATTTTTATCTATAATTTTCATTTTGATCTCAACAATTTTTCGATCACGACATATTTACCAAATAATTGAAAATATAGTCATAAATTTGTATTAAAAGGTTATACAAGACTAAATAAAATAAGTATAGGACCAAAATGTACCAAAATTAAAATAGAGGGACAAAAGAGTAATTAAACCTAAAATCTTGGGAAATTTAGGAACAATCACTTTTACAACATCCAAAAGTTTACAATATTCAAAATTTCTTTCCTTTCAATTTAACTTATTTAATTTCAACCATTTCGTTAATTTATGATAATGGAACCTTGAATGATTTGAAAAAAAAAAAAAAAAGCATATATTAACTTCTCAACCTCCGAACCAAAAGTTGAAAGATTTGCTTACCTATTTTTACACATCAATTTAAGAACAGTTGCTCAATGCTCAGCACCATTTAATGAGTCCATAATGGATAAAATGACCAACACAAACAAATTTAACCAAACCCAACTAATACATGATCCTAAAAACTTTCTACAAAGTTCTACAATGGAGTCTAAGCTTAATTGTTGAGTCTACAATGTAATCTCTGTCACAAAGATAACATAATTTTATACCAGAGATGGGAAACAATACCTCATATTCCCTTTAAGTTGCATCACTCTGTGTTAAAATTCTTGCTGTGAATGCCAATGCTCCATTGAAGCTCCATCAGAGCTCCAATGGCAGACTTTGGAAGGCAGATTAGGCAAATTTTCAGCTACAACTGCGCCATTAATCCACTCCAGCCTTTTGCTTCAACGTGGAGATGAAATTATCCCTCTCCTCCGGTGACATCCCCTCCGCCGAACAATCTCCTACTCCCCATTCGGCACCGCGGATGCAATATTTGTCAGCAATTTTCTGACGGTTCCTGTAGTTTTAAACCATTCATTCATCGAGGAAATTGGTGATGGAACCTGAAAAAAGAGGAAGTGAAATCTTAATTTTACTTTTCCTTGTTCAACTTCGATCGCTCCAGAAGTTCCTTCAGCAGGGGAGATGATTTGAATCTGGCATCAGATTCGGCATATTTTTTCTGATTTTCTTCTGCAAATTAGTCTCAAATTAGGTTACCGATACTGAATGATTGAAATGTTTTCTTTTCTTCAAGTGAATGTGAAGATAATCGAACCATTGAAGCGATTGAGAAAGTCAATTTGGGGCAATTGGGGACCAGGAACTGATTCGATTCCCGAAAATCCTGACAGAAATCCGGCATTGGCTGCATGTAATCCGCTAAATAAATAATCAGTTCTCAGATTCGAAATCGCGAGTATTGATTCATTCGACGGAAAATTTGACCGAATATCAAGAGTTATCAGGAGGCAAAGAATCGATTCCGTAAGAAATTGTGGATAAGATGAGGAACAACCACACAAATATCAAATTTCACCAAACAAACATGAATACTGCTTACGAAATCAAAACAGAAGAGGAAAAGAATATGCAATGCGATACAGAAACCTGGACTCGGCCAAAGAAGAAGGGAGATCGACGCAGCGAACGCGATGGATTTGTGAAGAACTGGCGAGCACAATGAAGAAGACGAAACAGAGCGAGAAGTGAAAGAATTTGCAGGTTTGTGATTGAAAGTAAATCGGACATTGTTGTGGAGATTAGCGGACGAAATTGGAGCAAACGCATGGAGAAGAAAGGGAAGAGATGAGGAAGCCATCGTCTCTGTGTCCAGAGGCGTTTTGTTGGCGAAGATCAAGATAGAATAATTTGTTTGATAGTGGCCTTTAAAGGGCTAAGTTAAACTTTATGTTCTAAATATCCGTCTCAGACATTTCCATCACATATTCATATTTTTATGGATGATGTCGATATTTTTTTCGTCATAGTAGAAGAAAATCAATAAAATATGAAAATATCACCAAAATATGTCACTAATATATATATATATATATATATATATATATATATATATAATATTAATATTAATTATTTTTAACTAATTTAAAAATGTGAAAATGTTTATTTCTTCATTTAAATATTTTTTACGATTTTTGAATTTTTCTAACTTTTAGATAAATATCCATCGGCATCTACATTTTATCGATATTTCCATCGATATTTCCTGAAATTGAGACCTCAACATTTCCATCGACATCGACATTTAAAACTTTGGTTAAACTACAAATTTTTAATTTGGTTTTTTTATTTTCTCAAAAGTTACCATTTTAAGAAATTTTAGTATGGAAACAAATGAGATAAAAATATTTCTAAAAAAAATAATAAAAACAAATGGGTTAAAAATAAAAATAATTGGAAATGTAGATAGAATTAAATCCCTTTTCTTCTCTTTTTCACAAATTTGAAAGTTGATTTTTTTTTTCCTTTCGAGTTCAAACATGTATGAGTAGGGATTCGAATCTTTGATATTTGGATTGATATATATGTCTTAACTAATTAAACGTTGAATTGTTTTTGTTGCATATATATAGTATTTTCATGTAGGTGGTGCCACTAAATGTGTTTGATTAAATAGATGAAGTAATAAACTACATAAAGTCACTTGAGACGAAGTTGAAGAAGAAAAAAACAATCATTAACAGCGAGTATAGAGTCAAATGAGTTCAAAAGCGATTGACAATCATTTTCTAAATGCTATTGCCTAAGTCGCTGAAGTGTCTCTTTTGAAAATTCAGGAACCAAAAAAGAACCAAAACTCAAATATTGTAGACTCAAAGAGTATATTATCCAACCTTCATTTCTCTTATATAATTGAACCAAACCAATTGATTTGAATCATTTTGGCTAGTCCTTAGTTTGCTTTTCTATGAAAATTGTGAATAGTAAAAAAATTCGGAAGAAAAAAATGTCACAAATTGTGGGGTGCATTCTTGGCGGGAAAAACGTTACTTCTCGGATTTTTAAAAATATTATAGCTGTTAAAATTTGTCATGAAAACTGAATATTTTTTTCTATTCAATGACAGTAAAAAATTGTCACAAAATGGTGGAGATGCGATTTTTGTGGGAAAAACATAGATTTACAAATTTTTACAGGTTTTATGACATTTTATAACTGTCACTAAATGCCATAATTGTTTTTAAACATTTTCAAATTATTTATAACATTTTTTAACTATGATGAAAAGATCATAATTTTTAATTGTCACTAAAAGGTCATAATTTTTAATTGTCATCAAAGGTCATAATTGTTTTCAAACCATCATTTATGACACTTTTTAATTGTCACAAAAGAATAATGTTGATTTTTTTTTAGAAATTTGATTTTTTTCATTAGATTCTTGCCCAAATTTTCAAGAATATTAGTTGGAACTTTTTGAAAGAATATAGAAACAAGTCATAATTTATCTCAATAAAATAAAGAAAATACTTAGTAGATATATCTAAAAAATTGAAATATGTAAATGAAAACATATTTAGTCACAGAAGTGAATTGAACTCAAGACCGGTCAAACTTATGAACACATCAAATACCAACAAACTAGGATGAATTTTTAAAACTTTTAAGTATAATATTAATACAGTAATCATTTTTTCATTCTATGCAAAGCAAATTAAAATAAATTAAATCAAACATGCCATTTTGCGAGATGCTTTCTTCCTCCCCTGTTTTCGATATCTTTCTAAAAAACCTAAAGTTTATAATCTTTCTCGTGCTCTTTTGCTTTCGCCGTCATCTTTCATCTTCCGTCGTTCAAGATTGGTTACCTAGATGATGCAAATTCACATAATCGATTGCCGACACTATAAGAATCATGAGTTTTTTCAACACTTTTATTCCCGACGCTGGACAAACATCTTTTTCCCGACTATAGAATAATAGTCGAGACTTTGCCGACTATTGACTAAAATAATCAGGAAAGGAATACATCTCTTGACTCTATTTAAAAACCGTTTGATTATATTGTTTTTCATACTTTACTCTCGACTATTCTAAGAATATTCGTGCGAAATTACTCTTGAGAGATTCAAGGAGATTGATGAGAGATTTCGGGAAACAATTTGAATTAATATTGAGATTCCGTTTTTCTCAAAATTAATTTGATTTGATAAACATTAATTCAAAATTAATTTTTAGATACTGTAAAAAAAAAAATCTCATTAAAAATATTATTTTTAGATTCCCTCGATCTCGCTCTCTCGCTCACCCTCGATCTCTCTCTCTCGCTCACCCTCGATCTCGCTCACCCTCGCTCACCCTCGCCCTCGCTCACCCTCGCTCACCCTCGCTCTCTCTCTTTATCTCCTCCCCCATTCCTCTTCCACTGAGCTTCTTTCTTCAGCGAATGACTTCCTTCGTCGGCTTTGATGCAGCCGTCGTCAACGAAGTCACGGGAACCATGTAGGCTGTTGGTTTAAAAAAAAAAGCTCAAAGATTTAGGAGTTTTTTTAAAAAGTAAATTGCTTTTTGTGGTCAGTAAAGAAGAAAGAGAATAATAGTAATTAGAAAAAATACAGAAATATGGAAGAAGGAAAAGAGAAACTCCAAGAAAATTTTAGAGAGAATGAGAAAAAAAACTTTGTTGAAGAGGAAAAGAGAAT